AGAAGGGAGGGATTATTCACACTACAGGGGGAGGTGATTAGTTTGGGAAGTCGGAGAAGGTGATAATGTTACCTTTGAGTACATCTTGTTCTTTATTTTATTTTATCTTCTGGCTATACAGTTCAGGCTGGCCTTGAGCTCATTTTGTAGCCCAGGCTGGTTTGGAATTTGCAATGATCCTCCTGCCTCAGGCTCCCAAGTGCTGGGATTATAGGTGTGTGCCACCATACCCAGCTCTTCTATTTTTATTTTTGGTACTGGGAATCAAACGCACAACCTCACACTTGCCAGGCAAGCACTGTGCCACTGAGATATATCCCCAGTCCACATCTTGTTCTTTAAATCTTACTCAAATGTGGGTACAGTGGGGCTTGCGAATAATCCCAGAACTCTGGGAGGTTGCAGCAGGAGGCCAACGAGTTCCAGCCCAGCCTGAGCAGTTTAGCAGTTTAGCGAGAGAGACCCTGTCTGAAAATAAAAAGTAACAATGGGTTGGGGATATAGCTCAGCTGCACGGCACCTGCCTGGCAAGTATAAGGTCATGAGTTCAATTTCCAGTACCAAAAGTAAATAAATAGGGCCAGGGATATAGCTCAGTGGCACAAGCACCTGCCTGGCACCTGAGTTCCATTCCTGGTACCTAAATAAATAAATAAATATAACAAAAAGCCAGGTATCTAACTCAGTGTGAAGCTCCTAGTTTCAAATCCTAGTACCATAACAGATAAAGACAATCATAGTGCTATGATCACAGGTGTGCACCACCACACCCAGCCAGTACTGGCTATTAAACCCAGGACCTTGAACATTCTAGGCAAGCACTCTACCATCACACTACATCCCCAGACCTTTTTATTTTTATTTTGAGACAGGGTTTCAGTAGTTGATTCAGTCTCACCTTGAAGTTGTGATCCTCCTGCCTCAGCCTCCCCAGGAGCTAAGACTGTAGGCTCATGCCACCATGCCTGCTTCTCTATTTTTATGGTGAGGTTGATAAACTTCTGTGCTGTAAATTCAAATGTGTCATCTGTAAGTCAGGTGTATAGTGACTGTTTTATTTCAGCTCATGTGAAATCCCACATAATGTTCAATTTCTTCCAGACTCATCCCTGTTCACTGAATTTCCTTGGCTGCTGCTCTCCCTGACTGTACCCTGGGACTACGGTGGCTTCATTCCAGTGGGAGCTTGTTTGGCAGTCTGTTCTTTAACACTGTGGTCCCCGGGGCCGGGCGTGGGGCGCACACCTGTGAGGGGAGCCCAGTGGCAGCGGAGTTAAGTCAGATTCATGTGAACTGAAGGTCATCCCAGGTACGTGCGAGTCCTTGGGAGACTGGCCACCCTCTCCAGGACAGAGAGGGAGACAAGGATGAGAACCGCACGCACAGAGCTTGCACAGAGCTTGGTCCCAGTTCCAACCAGACCTGGGGTGCTGACCTGTGTGAAAGACGTGCATACCTTTCCGCATCCGCTACCCTTGTTGCGTATGATACATAAACATTAGTTAGAAAGAGAAAAAGGAAGAAAGAAAGAAAAAGAAAGAAAGAAAGAAAGAAAGAAAGAAAGAAAGAAAGAAAGAAAGAAAGAAAGAAAGAGAGAGAGAGAAAGAAAGAAAGAAAGAAAGAGAAAGGACAAGTCTCTTTTGGGAGATTTTGAAGACTCGATTGTGCAGTGAGGCATGTTGGCCCAGCAGGAGCCTGACCGGCTGCTGCCCTTCGGTCTCCCCAGCTGTGTGTGGGCGTTGCCATGCTTCCTGTCTGGTGGTTTATTTTCTATTCTAGTATGTCTTATATTGATTACTGTCCTTTTCTACTGTTTGCTATATGCTCTTTGGTTGTGTTAAACTTTGTATTTCAAATTACTCAATGACCACTGGGCATGGTGGCTCACGCCTGTAATCCCAGCACTCGGGAGGCTGAGGCAGGAGGATCGTTGTGAGTTCGAGGCCAGCCTGGGCTACAAAGTGAGCTCAAGGCCAGCCTGCACTGCATAGTGAGACCCTGTCTCAAAAAGACAAAAAAAAAAAAAAAAAAAGCAGAGAGCACCAGTGAGGCAGCCAAGCAGTATACGGAGGAGAATGATGAGGTCAAGAAGGGAGCTGCTGGGCACTTAGGCAAGCTGGAGACTGGGGACGCTGCAGCACAGGTGGAGGAAGACAACAGAAGCCTAAAGCCGATGTGAAGAAGCTGAAGGACGAGCTGGCCATCTCCAAGCAAAGCTTGAGAAAGCTGAGAACCAGGCGCTGGCCGTGCGGAAGCAGCCCCAGGGCCTCGCCAAGGAGTACGACTAGAGGAGCCTGCCAGGCTGCAGGCCGCAGCGAGAAGGAGGAGCGACGCTGCCACCTCCCCTGCCTGTGGCCGGCCTGCCCCCGCCTGCCCCTGCTGCTCCCAGGAGCCCAGCTTCTCTCTCTGTCCCTGTCCCACTCCTCTCCACAGCTTCTAGCAGTCACCTCGGTCCCCTCCACACTCACAGTCCGCCGGCACGCCCCCGGGGACCGATTGTCACTCACTCACTTGCCTGCCGGGCTGCGGGCTGCTTGCCCTCCAGGGAGTGTGGCAGGGCTTGGCCCTGGCCCCTGAGTTCTGCCTGAGCTCCCTGTGGCAGGCCGGCTGGTTTCTCCTGCAGGCAATAAAAGTTGTTGCAACGTGAAAAAACAAAAACAGTGGCCCCAAACCTTGTTGGCATTGGGCACCAGATTTATGGAAGATGATTTTCCCACGGGTGTGTGGTTTCGGGGTGATTTGAGCACATTCTATTGCTGGGATGTAGCTCAGTGGTAGGGTGTTCGCCTCAGGTGCGTAAGGCGCTGGATTTCATCCCCCTGTACTACAGTAAAAAGAAAAAATTTTATTTTTGGTGGATATAAAAAATATAGAAAAAGAATTTATTTAGTTATATGTCTTCTGACATATATGGGCTAAAGGTTCATAAAACAGTAATATCTATGAATCTTAAAGCTTAAAAAATAAAGCAAGAGTCAGGCATGTTTGCCTTCAGGAGGCTGAGGCAGGAGGATTGCTGCAAGTTCAAGGCCAGGTGTGCTACACAGTGAGTTCAAGGCCAGCCTGAACTGCATGGTAAGGCACTGTCTCAAAAAAATAAAACAAATCATTAAATACATAAATAGCAAGTCATACACTATAGCATTAAATGTTCTTTTAATGACAAAACAGTTTTTAAAAGCTTTAATTTTTTTCCAGCTTACTAATACTGTTAATCAAAAAAACCCCAAGGTCTTCAGTTCAAAATACTCTCATTTTTCTTTATGTTCCTAGTTGGAAAAATATACCTAGATTCATAATTGTGGTTTGTAAAATAAAAGGAAAGAGCAATTATACCACCTTTTATAAATCAGAATGGGCGCAGACCCTCTCCCAGAGGAAGCGACTACGGCTGGTAAGCCACCTTTCAGGAAGAACGAGGTCCTGGATGCTTAGGCTCGGGACGGGCTCCTGCGCTGTCAGCAGAGTCTTTCCTTTCACTTGCTACCAGCAGACCTGTTCTCTTACAATCATAGCCTCCCCGTTCGTCACTCAAACAGGAAATATTTACTCAGTATTTATATAGTTCAGGGGGACAAACAGTTCAGGTAACCATTTATGAGACAAAGAGTAGGGATTTGGAAAGTTTGTGCCTGGTGTGTGTGTACACCTGTGTGTGTGTGTGTACACCTGTGTGTGTGCGCGCACATGCGTGCAAGCACTGAAGATTGAATCTAGGGCCTTTGCACTGAGTTAGTGCAATACTTTTTTTTTTTTTGGAAACAGGGTCTCGCTATGGAGTTCAGGCTGGCCTTGAGCTCACTTTGTAGCCCAGGCTGGTCTCGAACTTGCAACGATCCTCCTGCCTCAGCCTCCCAAGTGCTGGGATTACAGGTGTGTGCCACCTCGCCTGACTCCTCATTGGCTGTTGGGAAGGGCCTGCCAACCCACTCGGGTTCAACTGCCGGAAACATTCTCTCTCTACCGCATCCCTTTCCTCCCTGGCCCCGCCTTGTGGCCAGCTCCCTCCAGCCCTCTTCTCCCGTTTCCGCAGGAGCCTGCCTTCTCAGTGCCTCCCCGGCAGACAGCGATTCGCATTGCTCTCTTCTTCCTCGGAGGGAAGACGACTGACTGGCGTAATCCTGCATTCTCCACGGGCACTGGAGGAGGCAGGTGGTCCAAGAAGGCTGGGAAAGTCAGCTAGTTCTGCCTGTGTGTGGACTCTGTAACACAGAGGGTTACTCCACTTAGTGGCAATTTTCTTTCTGCCTTTGTCTTCTGTATTTGAGAGTTGATTGGTTGTGTTGAGGATCAGTATAGACATTTCACGTTGTACACAGTTCTTAACACACGTACCAAAAATCTAAAAAGCCAGGTGTGGGGCTGAGGATTTAACTCAATGGCACAGCGCCTGCCTGGCAAACGCGGGGTCGTGAGTTCTATTCCCGGTACCGGAAA